AATGGTCTAAGGTGAAGGATTATGTGTGTTCTGGTGATTGGTGTGGTTTGGTAACATACATCTGAAAAGGTGAGAACCTATCCCCCTAAATCATATACAGTGTTGTAAACCAATGTTACCTCAATAAAAAATAAAAAAAGAAAAAGTAAGGTCTGCTTGATGTAATTAAAAAGTCTACTCTATTACATCCTTGGAGTTTCTTCCACAAGCATGGCAGTAGGGAGATTAACACTCAAGTCTGTTTCTTAACTTTAGCCGATAGGTTTGGATCTTGGCACCCAAAAGCAGAACTCCCATAGATTTACTTTCAAGGGCCCCCCAATGTAAAACCAAGTGTCCTATATACTCGTATAAAGAACTCTAATCAATAAATTAAACCCTCTACCACCTGACCTTGAATATGAAAAAGCTACCAAGAATCAGCCAACATATTCTATAATCTATGACAAAGAAAGTTACAAACTGGCTCTGAAGATAAGGTAGGTTTTTTTTTTTTGAATATTCATTTATATATGGGGTGTAGGCCAAAGGTATAGGTGAGAGGATTCACCAGAGACAGCGTGGGGAGCAGAACAGGTGGATCTACTAAAATACGCTGCTGACGGGAGCAGCGGGCAAGACATGAGAGGTTCTGCTGTGCCAAGTGTAGCTCCCTGGCCTGGGATCGAACTCCAATAGCTTCATAGTGCTGAGACTTAACCCTTTGCGCCACCATGGAGGCCCAGAAAAGAAAGTTTTGAGGAATCTTTTAAAACCTTGGTACTAGCATGGGCCATGGACCACTAGGAAAGAATAATATGAGAAATAAGACATTTTTAAGATTCAGAAAATTTACTTTCTAACGAGTCCCTCAAAGAAAATTACTTATTTTCTTTGGTGCACCACCAAAATAAGAATGAAAACCGAGAAAACATAAAACATGAGCTTCAATAGTGAATAGATACAACCTGGGAAAAGTGTGGGAGGGGAATTCCAATATGCTAGTTGTTTGGCAAGTCTAGAAAGCAACCAGTCCACATTGAACTAAAGAGAGTGGAGGTCTCCAAGAGGGCACACTGCAGGAAAAAAATCCTTGGAATGGATAGTATAATAGAGGGTGTGGTGATGAATATAATAAAGGAGCAGGAGCAGAAGAGGGGGAAGGAATCACTAGAAACTTTGGGTGTGTTAGGGGAGAGGTAAATGAACAAGAGGATTACAATGCAAATGTGAAGCAAAAAGCCAAAATTAGAACAGAAAGATAATCAAAAAAGTAAATGCATATCAAAGATAGTTAGGAAAAAAACAGGGAATAATGAACAAAGTATATGCTTCTTTCTCTAAAAGAAAAAATTAAAAGGCAGCATCACTTTAACCAATTTGTAAAACTGTAAGAAAAAGTATATTTGGACATTCTCCTTTCAAGATCCTGACAAAAGGACAGTGACTATGGCCCAGTAGATAAGAAAATCCTAGTCATTATAGATTTCCCTCTAATGTGAAAAATTTCTATAATAAATCCTTATTGTTCAGCTTTTATCATCAAGCAATAGTAAAAAGTATAAAAGACTTAGTAAAGTTACCAAATGGAATGTAAACATTATAAATCTTAATTTTTACATTAAGTTCACCTGGGAATAAGCTGCGGTATTTGCACTAACTGCAAATACACCTCAAATACAGATTCAAGATATACTAGCTATAAGTTCATAAAACAGAAATATAATTTTGAATATATTAATGTCATAAAGAGAACCAATGGAAAAACCTAGTGATTTACCTCCATTGGAAGTAGAAGGGCAACTAAGTAGTGTGGTAAACTAAACCCTCACATAGTATTTACCAAGGCAAACTAAATCCTCAATCTTATATTCAAAGTTGATAAAGCAAGAAAATGGGGGTACAAGTATATTAATATACTTAATATACTGAAGTATCCACAAGAATCAACACAAAACACACAAAAGTCTGGAAAGAAAAGAACTGGAATAGAATGGGGCAGTGAAAAACTTTCTTTTCATTCATAAATTCATCTGTAATGTTTTATTTTTTTAAACCTTATATGAGTACATATTTTTAAAAGTTAAAAGTTGACTTCTTTAAAAAACTGTGTAAGAAAAAGAAAAATCGGATACATGAAAACTACACTTCACTGCTTTCATTCTGTGTATGTTCATCTGCTTTAACTTACTCATATATGGCAAACAACTGAATTAGGCAAGATTGTCGAGAACACTTACTTTGTCAAAACGTTAAAATAGGGGCCTGTGCCGGCCAGCGGTGGCCGCACAGGTGTCTGGCGGGGACGTGGGGCTGGTGGCTGTGGCCTCTGGTCTGGGATGAGCCGCACTCTCGGTGGAGGCAGGAGAGCTGAGCCGGAGCCATGGCCAGTACAATGGTAGCAGTTGGACTGACAATTGCTGCTGCAGGATTTGCAAGCCGCTATGTTTTGCAAGCCATGAAGCATATGGAGCCTCAAGTAAAACAAGTTTTTCAAAGCCTACCAAAACCTGCTTTCATTGGTGGCTATTACAGAGGTGGATTTGAACCAAAAATGATAAAACGGGAAGCAGCATTAATATTTAGGTGTAAGCCCTACTGCCAATAGAGGAAAAATAAGAGATTCTCATGGACAAATTATGCTTTTAAATCACCCAGACAAGGGAGGATCTCCTTATATAGCAGCCAAAATCAATGAAGCTAAAGATTTACTAGAAGGTCAAGCCAAAAAATGAAGTAAATGTTACGATGAATTTTAAGTTCTTAGCTGTTGATGTATAAACACCAACTTTTTAATAAAATGCTTCAAAGCTATAAATCTTAAAAATGATTTAGCATAAATTAAAAAAAGAAACACATTAAAATAACACAAAACAAAAAGCCTGCTAAGCAGTAGAACTAGAGGGAAAATGAAGGGAGTAAAAATAAGAGCCCAGACCAAAATCATAATCAGAGGTACTTAAGAGAGCAAGGAAATGAAGAAAAATGAGTCTTTTTCAACTTGAACTTTATTTTTGTAGAAAATGTAACTTCCAAGTGTAAAGATTTCTGTAAAAAAAAACCCACAATCAAAAGTCTGAATTATTAACATTAGAAATATTTAATCAACAAAGATATATTAACTTGAAAGTTACATTACTTTTAAAACCTGAAATTTTAAGATTTGGTTTCGGAGTTAGTTATCAAATAGACCTAATTTTTAGATACATCATCCTTATTTATATTGGCAAAACACAGTAATTGAAAAAAACTTTGAAAAGAAAAAAAGTCACTCTATTCCAAAAGAGTTAAAATGAAAAAAAAAAAAAACCCAACAAATATACTCTCACTGGAAAACCAAGTAAGAACTTTTATTTAACAACTTAACACTAATCGATGTCTAACATATTTAAAAAACACAGCATAATTATTTGTGAATAAACAGTTTCCACACTTAAATTCAATCACTGTCTTACTGGCCCATATAGCTCATTTAAATGGTGTAATCTTCAGTAATGTACAAAATACAACCAATACGAGTAGAAAGATTAGTTTAGCTACCCAAATACAGGTAAGATTACCTTCTTTTTTTTTATTTTATGAAGTCGATCTTTTGGTAAAGCAATGTGTATCCCTATTAATCCTCCCAGGATGAATGCTCACTTTTCCAAATACTCATCTCTAACATTTTTAACTGCAATAACCCCATCCTTTAAAAATATCTTGGAAAAATGAAGAAAATAAAAACCACAAAACCACTGTGTACATTCATAGATACACATGTATCAAATCTTTTATTCTTTTCTTACAAAATTTAGATTCTTAGAAAATAAGTGCTTATTTAAGTAGTTCAGTTAAACCTATGATATTCCCCCAATTATATCATAGCCAAAGCACAATGACATTCTTATTAGTTGCAAAATTACTCTACTTACTTATCTATATGTACTTCCCTCTTGAAAGGTTTAAACTTTTAGACTAGACCTCTTAACATCCACCTGGTCTAGGAGAAAAAGAACAGACACTAAAGGAAAAGGCCTAGGTTTCAAATCTTGTTTTTTTCTGAATCAGCATAATGACCTCTCAGAAGCTGTTTGATCAGATTAAAATGGAAATAACCGCATCCAACAAACAGGGTTGTTTCAAGGATCAATAAAATGATGTACGTTAAAGAAGCTACCAAGCGTCTGGCACACAGTAAATGTTGGTTTACTGTGTTAGTTCTTTCCTTCCTATTTAAAAAAACTGTATGACAAGTACTAGAAGCCACATAGATACAATGAATTTATTCACTAGTAACCTACATTATTTCACAACCCACATACACATTCGACAGCTCAGGGTATTAACTAGCCAAAAAATAAACCAAACAAAAAACTGAATTCGGGCAAAGAAATTTTTTAGTCCATTTACACGTGTTTTATTATGTGTAATGTTAGCTGACAACAGGGAAGAACACAGAAAACTTCTCTGTAAAAGTATACCAAGAGTTAAATCCTGTAGTTAAGAATTTCCTTTAAGAATGAGGAAAAGAAAAGCGCTCTAGACTTTTTTCCCCCTTGCAAATATAAGTTTGGGATGGACCAGAGTACCACTCTTTATTGCAATTGACAGAGCAGGCCACAGACGTGCAAAAATACACAGGGTACGAATAAGTTTGAAAACTGCTTCTAGCGTAGATAGGGGACCCGAGATTGCGATTTAAAACCCTGGGTCTTTCACAGAATTGCAGGGGGCAGGAAAAACAATGGAAGGGGGAGGGGCGGTCGAAAAAGGGCTGAAGACGCAGAATGTGGAGAAGCCGGGTCACTGGCGGGAAAGCGAAGCAGTTGGAAAACTAAGAAAATGAGTTCGTTCCCGCGCTCCGCCGAAGGCCAGCGGAGCTGCGGCTGGAAGCGAAGGTGCTGTCGCCGGAGAAAGGGGCCGCCCGGGGACGAGCGACGGGGCCGGAAGGCGAGTACAGGGAGGTAGGCGGGGAGGCCTCGGGGTCGACGAACGCGGAGAAAAGCGGGAGGCACCCGCCGCGGGCCGGCGCCGCGTACCTGCAGAGATCGTCCAGGACGCCGCCGGGAATCTCCACCCGTTTGGTCTCCATGATGAGCCCCCACAGCAGGAGCAGCGCATCCCGGCTCCGCACGGCCGGGGACCGAGGCTAAGGCGAGGAGACTACGGGAGCCGGAGATGGGGCGGCCGCGGCTCCACAGAAGACGGAGAGGAAGGGGCGGAACCGCTCACTTCCGTCCCGCTGCCTCAGCCCGGGCCCCCGAGGCCGGGTCAAAGCGCGGGCAGGGCCCCAGGAGCCACGCCCCTGCTCCGCTTGAAAGGCCCAATTGGAAGCTAGAGAAGCGGGGCCTGCCGCGTAGCCAATCAGACGTTTGTTTATTGGCCCGTCGTCGCCAACCCGCCTGCAAGAGCCTCAGTGGCTGCTCGGAAAGCCAACTTCCCCGGGGCTCCGTCTGACCCCGAGGGTGGGTGGAGTTGAGGACACGGAAGCCCGCGGAGCTGTTCCTGGGCCGTGTCTTCCCCGGCCGTCCTGAGGCCGGCGTCTGGGGCTTCTAACGTGGTCGCACCGTCCTTTCTGCAACCCAGTGAGACAGGGCAAGCTAGGGTTATTAGGCAGTTTTAGGGACAGTGCAGGAGGGGACCTCTGAAGAATTTAGGGAGGCTTCAGAGATAAGGACAAGCAAGGAAATGAAACCAATTTCACTGGGAAAAACAAACATCCTAGCACCATTGTTAACACTAGGGGAAAAACAAACATCCTAGCACCACAGATAATCTTGTTAAGGATGGTCCTGGTTGATAAGATAAAGTGTAAAGATACTCACCGGGAGGGCTAGACCATAAAGGTAAAGCAATAAACATAACAAATGGGGGGAAAAAAATACTGTTAAAATAAGGAATGTGAAATTCCTTAGTACCCCCTGAGAGCTAGCCAATCAGGAAGAGAGACTGAACTTTTAACATAATGAAAGAGAAAAAGTATATATTGCCAATGTAATATCCCATACCGGCTCATCTTGGCCCCTCCCAGGTACTTTATACCTGGGAGTCTTTCTTCTTTGTCTCTTTTCTTCCTAAATAAACTTTTCTTTCAAAGACAAGATTTGTCTCTCTCTGCTTACTTACTCCAAAAGTCTGTGAATTCCTTTCTACGGTTTCGCGAGACAAAAACTCGTGGTAAAGCGGCAGCAGTTGTTACACACGCCGGCATCACCAGCAAACCTTTCACCTAGAAGTCAGGGCCGCAGGGCCTGTGCAGCACCAGTGTGCGTGCACGATTTCTCTCACCACCTGTCCTCACACGCCGCAAGGGCTGGTGGACAGGTTACATCATTTTTGCGCAGGCTTGCCTCTGTCCCTACTCAAGCACCTGTATCCCAGTGTCACACCTGGTGAGGGAGTGGAGAACTAGCCCGCTAGGGAACTGTCCTGTAAGAGCAGGCTGGAAAGGGCTGGTTGCTTGAGGGAACTGAAAGCTGACAATCTGAGGCAGGTAACCACAAAGCTAGCAGGCAGAGGCTGTTTGCTATAAGCTAAGTGTATGGAAATAACAGTAGATAGTGGTGGCTTCACAATTCTGGGTGGCAAAGTGGGGCGATGAAGCAGAGTACGGTAGTGGAGAATTACCAGAAAGGGGTAAAGTCCCTGTAGGGTAAATGATTTTCAGGCTTTTCTGCCTTCCAGCCTTAGGACTGCACACTTGATGGCAAGTACTTGCATTTTGTTACATTGTTATATTCACTTGTATTGTGGGCTAGTATTTATATTCACCAAGAGAAGCAGAGGAGAGCGAATTCACCCATCACAGTCTGAGTTCTGCACCATGCCCACAATTGTAAGACTTCTCAGATTCAGAGAACAACAATAATGGGACTTACTTAACAAACCAGGAAAAACAGAGTTATTGAGGCCACAAATGGCCGCTTGCCTCACCCAAAGCAGGGTCCAATGTTTTAAAGACCTAAACACAATGGTTCCCAAGATGGCATCTTCCCACCACTGCAGACCTGCAGCACATGGCAGCCAGACCATAGGCTGGGATCCAACTCAGGAAGAGAGCAGGAGATAAAACAGATGTTCACCAGAGCTGCCAAGATGCCCCAGCACAGCACCAGACAAGCTACATTCAAAACAGCAGCTGCAGTAGCCGAATTATCTAGCAATGGCCACACTCATGCAGCTCAGGGAGGTGCCAGGCACTGGGAATTCACCTTTCCTGCCAGGCTCAGTTCCTTGGCTACTTGTAAAGCCTCCGAACTTTTCCTCACCGAAGTTGGCTGCTGGAAGCCTCTCCAAGTCCATCAGAGTCCTCCAACAGCCTTCTCGAAGATCGGCACAGATGGGGGCAGAAATTCCTAGCCCCAGAATGGCTGAAGATCTGAAAATGTTGACATCCAGAAAGCTGAAACCCCAATACTGAGTCTTGGGGGCTACTTCTGCAGTCCCTTTTATCTCAGAGTCTCCACCACCACCACCCATACTTTGTTCGTATTTCACCTGGGGCTATCCATTCTCACAAGCATCCCCATACAGGGGGCACCACCTGTAACAGTGGCTTCAGCCCCGTTACAAATGGAGCCGGATACCAATGAAAGCAACAAAACAAAAATGTGAGGATTCCCTTTAATCATGTTTATGTACATAAGAGCAAATAGCCCTCTGTGTTACACGCACACACACACTGTAAAACAACCTACCCATTCTGGGTAGCTTTATTAACGTTTCTAGCAGCCACATGCTCTACGCGGTTGTTTGTAGTCGCCGTACTCCTCCGTGCACTCCACTGCACTCCTTCCCCCTCGAAACCGCACCACCACCACACCGCACTCTGCTGCACCACCCCTATAAACCAGTCTCTTAGCTCAGGTGTACCCACCTACGCATGCCCACACCCCACTCCAGGTGCCCGCCATCAAGCATGCACTCAGGACCACAGGGTTCCGTCTTCCATCCTAATGGTGGGAGGGCAGAAAAGCCTGATACCTTTCACCTACCCTACACACACACACACACACACACACACACACCCCACACATGAAGTGGGCACTCGTCAAAGGCCAGGTGGCACAGAGCCACCAGGATGGGTGATATTCACTGAGCAAAATAGATCATCAGTTTTATGAACCCTGGGATGAGGGAGGGAGAGCTTAGGGGGAGGGATTAGGAATGGAAAAGTACTGAGTAGTGGTTCAGAGTAGGAAAAGGTCATCAAGGTTTTCACCCTCCCTTCCCCCATAAGCAGAGGTGCGTAAAGAACTCTGCCCAAGCCCTCAAAGACTTATTATTGAGGGTGTGGGGTTAGGAATGCAAACATGTGAAACACATGAGTCAAAGAGACCTAGCTGAAATACAAAGCCTGGCAGAGGTTGCAATGCACTGGCCATGTGCCAAGTCTGCAAAGGGATGTCAGTTATTCCTTCCATGAGGCTGCATGCCAGGTGAAGCTTTTACAATAGCCAAGAGTTAGGATTGAAAAACTACCCCCAGGTTTTGAACCAGGATCCAGGTTCCTGAAGAAATGCTGGACATAAGTGAATCCTGAAGCCTATCTACAGGGTAAGTGAAAAATTATAAGGCTTTTCTGCCCTCCCACCGTTAGCATTGATGATGGATCTCTGCGGTCCTACATGCATGCCTGATGGCGGGCACCTGGAGTAGGGTGTGGGCATATATAGGTAGGCACACCTGGGCCGAAACTGGGCTTATAAGGGCGGCATCACAAAGAAGCAGAAGCAGAACAAGAGAGAACCAGCAGAGAAGCAAAGACCACAAGAGAACGCCAGAGAGCCCAGAAAGAGTGAAGACTGGCCGGGGCCTAGGAGGCCTGCCAGCCTCCTGGTCCCCCCAGCCCCCTGCCTGTAAAAAGCTCAATAAAAGCCTGAAAAGCCACTGAGGACTCCAGGACTCTCCTTTACCCGTCCGGTTGGATCATAGAGAACCTGTACTGTGCCTTCATGCCGCTACACTATCCTACCTCTGAATTTATATTAACCCAAGCATTTCTTTTCGTTTCAGCCAAAACTTCTTGTCCCTTGGACTGAAATCATTCCAATCAATGTTCCACTGGCCATCCAGTGACCCAAACCAGAAACCTCAGAACCTTGATTCTTTGCTCACACATTACCATGTGCAGTCCATCAGTGAGTCCTAAGCAGTCTCTCTACAAAACATATCTAAGGTCCATTCCCTTTTCTCCACTTCAACTGTCCCCACCTTATCCACATCACCTCATCTCTCATTTGGACTACTAGTAGGCTCCTAACTACTCCTTTCTTCTACTCTTACTCTATTTTCATCCCTCCTTGTAGGGTAAGGTAAAAGTATCAGGCTTTTCTGCCCTTCCACCATTAGGATAGATGACAGAACCCTGCAGTCCTGAATGCATGCCTGATGGCAGACACCTGGAGTAGGGTGTGGGCATATGTAGACGGGGTACACCTGGGCTAAGGCTGGATTTATAAGGGCAGTGTCACAGAGATGCCAGCAGAAGCAGAACCACCAGAGAATGCCAGAGAGCCCAGATAGAGTGAAGACTTTCTGGGAGGCCTGGCAGCCTCCCGGCCCCCCGGCACCCCTGCCTGCTGTGTGCCTGGTAAATCCCAATAAAAGTCTGTGAAAGCCACCGAGGGCTCCAGGACTCTCTCTTTCACCCCATCTGCTCGGGTCATAGTAAACCTTCTCAGTGTTCCTTCCTGCCACTACACTCCTCCATATAGCAGTAAGAGTGAGCATCTTAAAACACATGGCATCATTCTCCTGCATGAAAATCTTCATGACCCTTTAAGTAAAATCCAATCTTCATGCCGTGACCCAAGAGACCTCACGTGATAGGGCACCTGCTTTTGCTGTAGCCTTGTACTTTGTCCTGTTGTCATCTCATTCATTATACTCTAGCACAGTTGTCTTCTTGCAATTCATCAAACTCACCAAGCTCTTTCCACATACCATCCCCTCCACCTGGAGTCCTGCCCACCCCATTCATTAATTTCCTCCTTTTATCCTTCATGTGCAGCTTAACAATCACCTCTTCAGAGCTCTTCCCTAACCACTGCATCTAATACTCTCTACTATTCTCTGTCACAAGCCTTTGTTTCCTCCAAACTAGGCTTCCTCAATTAAATTTTGTTTCAATTAATTTTTCTCCTCTCTCCAACTGTAAGTTACAAAAAAGAAAGCAGGGAGAAAGCAGGAATCCTTTCTTTCATTCATTGACTCTCCGGGGCTTAGAATGTTCTTGTTATATGATAGGCACTCTACAAACTAAA